TCTTCGAATTCTTTGTTCTTAAACTCCAACCCATTGTCACTTCTTATGTTACGAACAACCTTTCTCAGCTGGACTTCGACCTGTTTGATGAAGAGCTTTAGTTTAGGAGTAGCCTCTGATTTCTGTTTTAAGAAGAATACCCATGTAAATCGTGAGAAGTCATCTACAATGACAAGTATATACTTGTTTCCACCAACACTTTCGATTGAAGATGGACCACACAAATCAATATGAAGCAATTCAAGCGGTTCAATTATTTTTGTGTTGACCCGAGAAGGATGACTCTGTCGACTTTGCTTCCCCATTTCACATGCAGCACACAGGTGTTTTTTATCGAATTTCAGAACAGGAAGACCCCGAACATGATCCCCAAGCACCAATTTGTTGATGCCTTTAAAATTCAGATCGAAGAGTCTACGGTGCCAAAGCCAGCTTTCGTTTGATTGAGCCTTTGACAGCAAGCAGATAGCTGGTTTTCCCCGTATGGGATTGAGATTCAAAGGGTACATCTCTCCTTTTCGCTTTGATTTCAGCAAAACATTGTTTGACTTCTTTTCAGTAATCTCTGATCCCTCGTCATCGAATGACACTTTTAGCCCAGTACCAACCACCAGTTGAGAAACACTAATTAGGTTGTGTTGCAAACCCTCAACATACGCCACTTTTCTTATCGAGAACTCGCCGTTGGTAATCATACCATAACCTTTGATCGTGCCATAAGAGTTGTTACCATACTTGACACTTCCACCATTTGTAAGGGACCGAAACTCCCTCAGTTCTTCCCTTCTTCCTGTCATATGACGCGAGCAGCCACTGTCTATGTACCATTCATCGTCAAACTGCTCGTCACGTATAACCTGCAAAATTTAAGCAGATTTAGGAACCCAAAGTTTCTTGGGTCCTCGTGAGTCTTTTACAGAGTAGGGAATTGTAAGCGAAACATCAACTAAAAAGGTTCTTTTTATTAGCGTTGTTTCATCTTTTCTTTTTAGGGTGAAAACTCTGATTTTATTTTTAGGTGGAGTTGCCGAATATGTGTAATTTACGTTAGCATACTTTCGATCAACATTAGGCTTAGTTGACGAATCCTTTGAATTTGTTGGACAAAGCTTTTCTTTTCCTTTTTGATCATTCTGTGAGAGGAGGTTAGAGCTAGGAAAATGAGATTTGGAAACTGAGTTAGCCTTTTGGATATTGCTCGTTTGTGATTGAGAGTGAAAATTGCTTTCCTTTCGTTTCTGCTCACTGCTCAGTCTGGAACCGAAACCACCCTTTCGGTTTTTCTCATCTCGAGAACCGAAGCCTTGTGTTCGGTTGACATCCTTTGGTGGACCGAATCTCTGTTTTCGGTTTGTCTGATGTTGAGGACCGAAACTCTGCTTTCGGTTGGTTTGATATTGAGGACCGAAACTCTGCTTTCGGTTGGTTTGATGTTGAGGACCGAAACTCTGCTTTCGGTTGTTTTCGCCATGAGTGTGAGTGCTAGGATTTTCTTTTCCTACCTCCTTTTGCTTAGAAGGTTTTTCATAGCGAATGTAGTTGGGATTTTGAGACTGCCAGAACTGCTTCCTTTCAGTAAGGTTTTTCTTGTACCTTACATTCCTTTGATGCTTTCTTTCTTTTACCTGTTTTGGATTTAGGTGAATGTTAGCCTTTTTCTCAGATTTTTGAACATTAGCATTGTTCTTTGGTGAATAGGGTTTGCTGGAGACAACCACTTGTTCATCTGAAGGCATTTTGGTACCACTTGTGCTGGGCTCATCAAAACGAGTAGGATCATTAAGTGGTTCGGCTACATATCTTCCTTTCACTCTCCACGAAGTTTTCTGTGACAGACCTACTGTTTCATCAGCGTTATCAATGGGTGCTGACCAGAAAAATTCATCACAGCCTTCAGCATTATCTTCTGCTACTATTGCCGTCAGTTCGGCTGTTTGTTGCAGAGTGACTCCATTAACTTTGTAAACCTGATTTGGAGTAGTTTGGACCTTTTGATACACTACGGCCTTTTCTTTAAGGACTTTGGTCTTGTCATTGGATAAACGAGCAAACTCAACCGAATTTTCAGAAATAAGATTTTTGTTAGTTTCGGGTTCGCTTTTGACAAATTCTGAACAATCAACCACGTCATCCACAGAAATGTCACTCATATCATTATCCTCATCGAATTCAGAAATATTTTCAACAACAATTTTATTTTCTGAACTCAACTTAGCATTCAACAAGTCAAATTTCTGTACGGTTTCAGTTTGGATTTTCAATTTGTCATTTTCATCCAACAAATTTTTGAGCATGTCCTTATGGTCTTTGGACTTTATAAAGGACTCTATTTTGTCAAGACCAATTCTGTAGGCAGGGAAAATATCCTCAGAAGAAACAACGTTTTCACAGTCATATGCGTCGGCATCGATTTCATCCTCCTTCAACTCAAGGAAGGGTAAAATCATACGATGTATCTTCTTGCCTATTTCACAATCAAGATGCAAACGACCTAATCAACTCCTTCTCCTTCTGCTCAATCCACATTCGCCTCTCCTCACTCTTTGATGACACCCTGCTGATTTGATCAGTTAGGTTAGAGTTTGTGACGCGAGTTTGAGTTGAACTTCCACTTAAACTAGAAAATTTAGATTTTAATCCATTGAGTTCATTTTCGTAGTTAGTGATTGGAATTTTCAGAGAGATAAGAATAGATTGTACCTTCTGGATCAACTCATCGCAATCGTTGATCTGCTGACTGACAGGCTTTGCTGCGAAACAGCGGTCTTCTCTGTCCTTCTCTCCTTCATTTCCTCCATCAGTGGTATACCCTCGCATGTGTGACACACCAGACGTCACCATCAAACACCTTCCTGCAGTGTCCTCTTCCTTTACCAAAAGAGCCTTGCCATGAGTCGGCTTCCTCACTTCCTTGTCCTCTGAATCAGTCGACCAAATTTCAACGCCTCCAAATTCATCATCGACTACATTTCCCTGCACAATAAGAGCATTCATGGTGTTGTTAGATCCTGCTTTCTTCTTCCTGATTTCCTCCAAACGCCTTGTGAGGTTCGCTTCCTCGTCCTCATCTTCGTTCTTCTCAGACATCTTTCTTAGCATGCAGTCTTTAGCGAAGTGATTTTTACCTCCACATTAGTGACAAGTAAAGCCCGAGTCACCTCCAAGTTTCTGTTCCTTCTTTGGTTCTTCCGACTGGGAAACACTTTTCGGTTCCTCCTTTTCTTTCTCAGCGCTGTAACTGCCTTGCCAGTTTCGGTTTTTGTTTGTTGGAAATCTTCTCTTGATGAAATTTTTGGGATTTGACACCATCAGAGAATACTCCCTTGCTTGTTAGATCATATTCAGAGAGATCTAAATCTTCCTCTTCCTCAACAACATTCTTACCTTTGGAGATTAGAGCCAACGAACGCATGCCAGAAACCACATTAGATTCTTTAGTCAAGGCGTTCTCGTGTGACTTAAGTATCCCCACCAATTTTGCAAGAGAATAACTTTTGAACTGTTCATGTGCCTTCACTGTTGACACCACAGCCATCCATTCTGATCTAAGGCCATTCATGAATGTTACCTTTTGTTCAATGACCTTCCTCTCAATCCCATGCTTAATCATCTTGCTTAAGAGATGATTGAAGCGATCGAAGGATTGAACGAGCTTCTCTTCAGGCTTTTGCTTAAAATCTCCAAATTCTGAGAGGAGTAGTGTTTGGATAGAGTGCTCAAGATCTTCATCCGTAGAGTACAATTCCTTCAACCTGACCCATATTTCCTTTGCTGTCGTGCATGAGCTTACCAGCCGAAATGTGTCTGACTGTAATGCAAACCTTATCATCCTTAAAGCTTTGATGTTGCACTGAAACTTTTCCTTCTCGTCTTGAGGTATATCTTTCACGTCACCGATAAGTTGATTATATTCCTTTTGAGTTTTAACAACTCTTGAAGTACTTGCATGAACGAATGGACCAACAGTGATCGCCTCCCAGATTAAGTATCCATTATCTTCTGAGCCAATCACGTAGTCTTCAAAGTGATTCGCCCAGACCTCATAATCTTGAGTGTATAAAATAGGAATCCTTGTCGTCGATCCTATGCTGTTTGAGATGTTGATCGGATTTGACTGAGAATCGTCCATGGATGTGTTGATGCTTGTTTAAACCTGCTTAAGATCAGACTTGTAAATAACGTTAGGGTAAGATCAAATATTTAAAGAGCCACGTCAATAGCAGATGACGGCTCTATTAATATCAATCTAAGCGGAAAACCCTAAGATCTTCTTCAACAGAAGAGATGTGTATGAATTACACAGTCTCCTGCTCTGATACCAATTGTTGAGTTGAAAAAACTCTTAGATCGATTAGATCTTCAACAGATTAAACAATAAAATCAAAAGAACACAGAGAACACAATATGGAATCAAATAATGCTGAATGATTCAAACGTAGTCACGCCTCAGCAGAGCTCGACCAAGAACTTCCACTGTAGAGGCGAGCTAGGGTTTTGTAGTACAAATCAAAACAATAATAATCAAAGCTCTGTCTTCTAAGGCTGCATGCATGCACCTTAAATACTAAACCCTAAACAAAACAATCACAGTTGGATAGGCCCAAACTGGATAGCAAAACCGGGCTAAGGACCGAGCCCATGACGCAACACTATTTAACCCAACAAATACGGTAAACTATGCATAGAATACGGTTGTAGAACCGTAATCTATAAGAATATAGAGTACGGTAATCTAAGTAATAGAATACGATTGCGGAACCGTAATATATGAGAATATTTAGTACGCTAATCTAGGAAATAGAATACGGTTGTAGAACCGTAATGTATATGTCTATTAATAAAAAAATCAAATATTAAATAGTTTCGAAACCAATTATACTGGTCTTTCGTTTGATACATGGATATGCGTGTTTATAAAGTTCAGAAATTTAGTCATGAGAAATTATAAAATTGACAACTACAATAAAAAATAAACATAAATACATTAGCTTTTACGAACAATAATAATTGGTCATTCCAAATAATAAAAAGTAACTATAACAAAATAGTAGTTAAAAATAAAGTACTAAGACACAATCATGATGGACTCAAACGACAAAGGAGAAGGACAATTGTTTTCATTACAAACCTATAACACCTAAAAAAGGTAAAAAACAAAGAAACTTCTTCTGTCTTTTTGCACCTTTCCGATTACTGTGGCTCCATTATTCAAAGTGGACTCGAACCAACCATCAGCAATGAAAAGATAATCAAGAACCAAAAGTAAATATGAGTCAAGATTTTATATTTTTATGTGTAAAAACAAAGCATATGATACATGACTTTGTTTAAACCACATAAGGTTAATCAAAATAAATCCAATAATAACAAGTGTAGAAAATAGAACAAACCATTAAACACAGGCTTCATTTCATATATTTACTTTGAAAAGTAGTCATCCACGCATTGACCACATCGTCCAACAACTTTTCAGGAATGGGGTTTATATCATTCCAAAGGTTCTATATGCAGAATAAAACAAAAACTCTTATTGAACAAAAGAGACAGTTTGGTGCAATAGACAAAATGAAAAAACAATATTACAAAAGTTACTTACATTCGGGAATGCATATTGCCGATACATGACAAATTCACGCACCATTTCAACACATAATAGCCACATTCCCAATTAGACGATTGTTGGTTGCACTAAAAAAATAAACATCAGAGGTTTTCTTATGTTATATATATATATATATATATATATATATATATATATATATATATATATATATATATATATATATATAAAAGAGAGATAGAGAGAGAGAGGTCAATTACATCAGCAATCGTCCATGTCATTGGATGTGATGTTTCAAAATCTTCATTAAACATTTCAACAGCCCTAAAACAAAAACAAGTAATATTGTTACAATTTATAGAAAGAAATATCATCCAAAAATATATAAAAAATATCTTACTTTTCAACATGCTTTATGACTTTGTAGGAATCAGTCGGATTTCCTGACTTCTTGATGGAATCCAAAATGTAACCAGTGCGTTGATAAGGGCAAATCACAAGCAGCAACCAATGTCGACTAGAATGTTTAAAGTGCTTAGGATAAAAATCAATGAACAAAAAAACATACAACAATTATTATAGTAGAATATAGAAACCATGAATTAAATCTTGATGTTTGTGATCTTTTATAAGAAACCATGAATTAAATATTGATGTTTATCAGACGATCGGGATTGAAGATCCAACGTTTGGATGTAGAATATAGACAGCATCCAAGAGTCAACGTCCATGATCGACAATGGAAGATGTTCAATCCAAATCAAGGTAGGTTTTATAGTTGGATTTGAGGGGAAACTGAAATCGCAGGTGAAGCTTAGTAATTGGCGATGCGGGGAATAGATGGGGGCGGGAGTCAATTGGGGGTGATTATGTTTGTATTGCAACTAGCGAAGGGAAGAACAAGGAACAAGGAAGATGAAACGAAAAAAGAGATGATGGAATTGTGATTTGGGGGTTTGTTTTTTTCAATTTTAATGTCGTTCAAGAAAAAATATAATCTATTTTGATCAAATAGAATCAATCAAACTATTTAATGCATAAATTGCAAAATCATATGGTTGGAAATTAATTTAACAGATGACAGAAAGCAAGAAGGAGAAACATAGTATAGTTGCTAAAAACATACCTGATACCAAGGTCGGAGGAAGAAACTTGGACAAATTGTCGTCGGATGAAGATCATCACTATGTATGCTTCGGAAATCGGAATGAATACCACCGTCTCCAAAACACCTCAAAGCAGAGATATTAAAAACAGAGGTCGATTTTTCTTATGATTTTTTTTTGAAAGAAAGATGAAATTGGCATTGAGGTGATACGTATTTATGTACAAAAGGCTCTATAGGATTGGCATTGATGTGGACCTACTGTAACGGTGCCTAATTTTTAGGTATTAGATTTTAAATATAAGACTCTTTATCATGTTATATATAAAATACGGTTATAAATGACTAAGTGTATTCTAGCGTATTCTATTCCCCTTTTCATGTACTACACCAAATAGAGTACGGTTGTTCTTTTCATAAAACCGTATACTAAATCTTTTCTAAGCCATTTAACATTATATAATACGAATTACTCTATAACCCGTATTATATATGCCGTAATTTATTTTTGATTCTGTAGTGGTGGTTTGTGTTTCAGGTGTGATGGCAAGTTTGCTCTAGGGCACAAGTGCCCTAGCAAGGCGTTGCAAGTCCTTATTGTGGACGAGGAAGTTGACGAGAGATCTGACTTGGAGCATGCCCACTTTGATATGGCGGGGGTTTCACTCAATGCGGTCAGTGGGTTGACACCTCCTAGGACGATGAAAGTAAAAGGTGATGTCGGAGGACTAGAGGTGATTGTTTTAATCGATAGTGGGGCTACGCATAATTTCCTGTCAACACGGATCATACGCCTCTTGGGGGTGGCTGTTGTAGGAGAGGGAACAGTAGGGGTCAAGCTAGGCAACGGGCTGATGGTTAGAAGTCAAGGAACATGTAAGGGTGTAGTTCTCAACCTACGAGAAGTGCAGGTGGTGGGAGATTTCCTTCCATTCGATGTTGGGGGATTTGATATCATATTGGGTATACAGTGGTTGCGAACTCTAGGAGACATGACCGTTAATTGGAAGGAACTACGCATGCAGTTCTGGGATGGAGATCGGCATATGACGATTATAGGTGACCCAACCCTATCGAAATCCTTGGCTTCATGTAAGACTTTTTGTAAAATGTTGCAGCAAGAGGTGGAAGGTTTCTTGGTACAATTGGCTGCCAAGGTTGATACTAACGAACCATCTGAGGTACCGGCTGAAATTCAAGTGATTCTTGACGACTACTCGGATGTGTTTAACATGCCTAGTGGTCTACCGCCGAACCGTAGCCACGAGCATGGCATAATTCTCAAAGAAGGAACTCCACCAGTCAGTGTGCGGCCGTATCGTTATCCTCATGTCCAGAAAAATGAAATTGAAAAACTTGTGGGGGAGATGCTTAGTGCTGGAATTATTCAGGCTAGTACTAGCCCGTTTTCGAGCCCTGTGTTGCTCGTAAAGAAAAAGGACGGGAGTTGGCGAGTTTGTGTAGATTATCGTGCACTGAACAAAGTTACGGTGTTAGATAAATTTCCTATTCCGGTGATTGATGAGTTACACGGGGCTACCGTATTTTCAAAAATTGATTTGAAGGCCGGTTATCACCAGATTCGTATGAAGGTGTGGGATGTTCCGAAAGCAGCTTTTAGGACCCATGAGGGTCATTACGAATTTTTAGTAATGTCGTTCGGGTTGACTAATGCGCCTGCTACGTTCCAGTCTCTAATGAATAAAATCTTTCATCCGTTCCTGCGCCACTTCGTGTTGGTTTTTTTTGACGACATTCTAATTTACAGTAAAACAGAATTTGAACACGCGCTGCACCTGGGGAAGGTTCTGAACACGTTGCGAGCTCACCAGTTGTATGCTTATAAAAAAATGTTTTTTCTTTCAGAATAGGGTCGAATATCTGGGTCATATAGGGTCAAAGGAAGGGGTAGCGGCTGACCCGACTAAGGTTGCAGCCATGTTGACGTGGCCTGTACCTAAATCGCTTCGTGAGCTGCGGGGATTTTTGGGTTTGACGGGCTATTACCATAAGTTCGTTAAAAATTATGGGAAGATTGCTTGGCCGTTAACGGAGCAACTTAAGAAGGACAACTTTAAGTGGACGGGATAGGCCACAGAAGCATTCCGAAAGTTACAAAAGGTAATGACTGAGGTTCCAGTTCTTGCATTACCTGACTTTGATAAGGAGTTCGTGGTGGAAACCGACTCATCGGGATACGGTTTGGGAGCGGTGTTGTCACAAGAGGGAAGACCATTGGCTTATTTCAACCATATTCTGGGGACGAGGGCCCGGTTGAAATCTGTATACGAGCGAGAGCTTATGGCGATTGTACTTGCAATACAGAAGTGGCGTCCATATTTGTTGGGAAGGTGTTTTAAGGTGCGAACAGACCAAAGGAGTTTGAAATATTTGTTTGAGCAAAGGACTGTAACCGAAGATCATCAAAGGTGGTTATCAAAGTTATTGGGTTATAAATTTGTGGTGGAGTATCGGCCGGGGAAGGAGAACAATGTGGCGGACGCTTTGTCAAGACGGGTTGAACCTCCACAATTGTCGACTTTGGCAGCCACGAGCCTCATTGATTGGGAGGGGTTATGGAAGGAGGTTGGAGAAAATGAAGAATTGAGCGTTATCAGACAACGACTCTTAAGTGGTGAAACCTTGGCAGGTTATATGCTGGTACGAAATCAATTGTTGTTTAAGGGGCGACTGGTGATACCAAGTGACTCGGCTTGGATACCAGTTATCTTCAAGGAATCTCATGCTAGCGCAGTGGGAGGGCATTCGGGGGTTCAAAAGACTTATCAGCGGCTCGCGAGGGAGGTCTATTGGAGAGGAATGAAAGGAGATATCGCGAGGAGGGTGGCGGAATGCGACACGTGTCAGTGGCAGAAGTACTCGACCATGGCGCCGGGTGGTTGTTACAACCTTTAGAATTACCGAACAAGGTGTGGTCTGAACTGACAATGGATTTCATTGATAGGCTTCCTCGATCGGAAGGGTACACGGTAATTTTTGTGGTGGTTGATCATTTGAGCAAGTATGCTCACTTTGTACCCCTCAAGCATCCCTATACAGCAGTTACCGTGGCTAATGTGTTTCTTAAGGAAGTCGTTAGACTTCACGGAATTCCCGAGTCTATTGTCTCGGATCGGGACAAAAAAATTTTAAGTCAATTCTGGAAAGAATTGTTCAAGCTGCAGGGTACCATATTGAAGCGAAGCACGGCCTATCACCCGCAAACAGACGGTCAGACGGAAGTTGTGAATCGTTGTTTGGAAACTTATTTGCGATATTTTGTGACAAACTCGCCTCGAAAATGGGTAACGTGGCTACCTTGGGCGGAGTACTGGTATAACACTTCTTTTCACACTTCCACCAAGACAACCCCTTTTAGAGTTTTGTATGGGCGGGATCCTCCACATTTGTTGTTTTATGGCCAAAACGGGTCTCCAGTAGGGTCCGTGGATCAATATTTGGAAGAACGAGATCGGATTCTCCAAGAATTGTGGGGATACTTGATGAAAGCGCAACAGACTATGAAATTACAAGCAGATAGACAGAGGAAGGAACTGCATTTTGACGTGGGTGATCAAGTGTATCTGAAGCTTAAACCTTATCGACAACAAACGGTAGCAAAAAGACGAAATGAAAAGTTGGCATCTCGGTATTTTGGTCCTTTCCATGTAATAGAGAAAATAGGGCAAGTGGCATATCGGTTGGAATTGCCTGAGGCATCTCGTATTCACAATGTGTTTCATGTTTCTCGGTTAAGGAAAGCTGTCGGGGAACGAACAACCACGCCATGCCTGCCGGCTACTTTAACAGAGGACATGGAAGTTTTATTGCAACCTGGTCAGGTAGAGGGGGTACGCGAAGGGGTGGCTGGGAAAGAGGTGCTGATACGTTGGAAGGATTTACCGGAGTATGAGGCCACGTGGGAGCATTTGGCGACTCTGGCTAAGCAGTTCCCTGACTTCAACCTTGAGGACAAGGTTTTAGTTTGGAGGGGAGTAATGTTATGACCCAACGGTTTGGTAAGGTTTATCGCAGGAGGATTAGGTAGGGAATTGGTTTGGATAATGATAAGGGGCAGTTTAGGATATATCTAAATAGTTTTTGGTAGGATAAGTAGGAGATAACAGTTATATGTTTAGTTTTTGTTGCTGTTAATTAGCTGGACGCTATTTAAGGTGCTCCAGAGTTTGCTTAGGTTTTTTATGCATTTTAATAAAAATACGTGAGGTTTTTTCTTTGAGTCTTCCTGTAGCTCGAATTGCAGGTAGGGAATTAGGGCATTGACCCAAGTTCCTATCACAAAACAATAAATGTTTTGTTATATGCGGACCGATTGGATGTGTATAGAGTGGATAACTTGGATAAATAGATTGTGAAGGCAACAACAACGAATTTTGGTAAAGAAATATGGCATAAAGGGGTAGTAGTGCTAACACATACTCAGCTTACACCACCAGATTGTCTTAGTTATGATGACTTCTTTGGAAAAAGATCAGAGGCTCTTCTAAAAGTTGTAGAATCTGGAGGTCGTTTTAGGAAACGTGAAGTTAAGGTACATAGTCTCTTTTTATTTGTTTATAATTTCTTTAATCTGATTGTTATGGATATTTTCTTGTAGTGATAGTCAATTCCAGTTGTATTGGTTGAAAATAGTAGCAGGTGTGATAAAAATGATTATAAAAGTTGCTACATTAGTAGGTTAGATTAGTTTGATTTCCACAAATACATTAGTAGGTCGCTTGAAGAAGATTTCAAAGTCGTAGTTGGAATAAGGTTGATCATTTAATTTGTTTCCATTAGTTATTGTTTAAAAAAACATGCATTTAATTTTTTTGAAATTCTTTATTGTAATTCAAACATGAAAAGCTTATAACACAATTAAACCTTTGTATTGCAGTCCAGTAGTATGGTTTTTTGCCATTCTGTTGCTTCTCACCAACACCCATGGTAAATAGTCACAAAGTTATATATAAATCAATAATTATTTTATTATAATTTATATAGGCAATCAAACTTCAAAAACTTCGGAAATTTATTAACAACATTGTTATACATTTTTGGTCTTATTAAAAAAATTTCACGATTTGTTTATCTAATGATAGGCTGGAAAGCATACCTTTGGCTTCCCTTCATCCCATTGATTGTAAGTATTAATCTCATCTTCTGTATATATGTTCATGAGTGGATCAGATATAATCACTAGGAT